CCCTCCCCTGGCTCCTCCCCCCTCCCCCCTCCCTGCCTGCGAGCAGGTGCCCGAGGGTTTTGTGGCGGTGGCCCGCAACACGCTGCGCGTCATCACGCTGGAGCGGCTGGGCGAGTTCTTCAACCAGCAGTCGCTGCGCCTGCGCTACACGCCCCGCAAGTTTGTCATACACCCGGGTGAGCGCCGCCGGCGGCTGGCAGCCGGGGCTGTGTCTGCCGCAGCTTCTGGCTGGCTGGTGCACCGGTGGTGCGTGGGTGGCAGTGCCGGCAGCAGGCGCCGCGCTGGGGAGGAGCAGCACTCAAGCCGGCGCTGCTGCCCGCCTCCCTCCCCGCCCTCCCCTCCCGCCTCCCCTCCCCGCAGACCTCAAGGTGCTGGCCATCGCAGAGGCAGACCACGCCGCCATCCCGCTGGCGCAGCGAGAGGACCTGCAGCAGCGGCGGGACGGCATGGAGGCGGAGCAGCAAGGCGGGGCGACGGCGGCGGCGGCGGCGGGGCCGGAGATGGATGAGGAGGCGGCGGCGAGGGAGGACCAGTGGGGTGCGCCCAAGGGCGAGCCGGGGCAGTGGGCGTCGTGCGTGCGGTGAGCTCGGCTGCTGCTGTCCACGCTGCGCACGCTGCGCATGCTGCGCGCTGCCGCTTAGGGTGGTTATGGGCAGTGGCGGGATGTGTGCAGTGGGGAGGCCCTTGGCCCAGCGGCAGCGGCCCCCTGGGGGCAGCCCACCTATGGGGGGCCTTGCTGCGCGATTAGGCGGTGGGCGCGCAGCCTGCTGCAACCGTGCCTGGCGCTGCCCGCCCCCTTCCCTGCCTCCCCGCAGCATCGTAGACCCGGTGTCGCTGCAGACAACACACTGCATAGAGATGGAGGACAACGAGGCGGCGCTCAGGTGGGTGGGGGCCCTGCAGTGGCAGGCCGCTGCACAGCCTGCCTGTTGCGCTGCACAGCCTGCCCTCCACCTCTGCTGAGCAGCGCTCCGGCCTCGTCACAAAGCTTCACAGGCCGGCCTGGCCGCCGCGCTGGTCCAGTGTGCCTCTCGGCCCGTGCATGCCTGTCCGCTCGCCCATCCGCCCGCCCACACGCCTACCTGCCATGCAGCGTGTGCCTAGTTGAATTTGACAGCCACCCGGAGCACGGCACGCTGCTGGCGGTGGGCACAGCGCAGGGCCTCAAGTTCTATCCCAAGGAGTGCCAGAGTGAGCAGCAGGAGCACAGCCGCCGACCTGCTGGGGGGTCAGCCAGGGCAGGCAGGGCTCTGGCCAGCACCCGCCATGCCATGCCACACCACACCACACCTTGCCGCTGCCGGTTCCTGCCAGCCTTTGCCAGGCGCAGCTGCAGCGCCCTGCCAGCCCCGCTCCTCCCGGGCTGCCAGCGCTGACCTCCCGTGCGCTGCGCCCTGACCGCCTGCCTGCCCGCCTCCCCGCCTCCCCGCCTGCCTGCCCCTGCAGACGGCTTTGTGCACCTGTATCGGTTCCTGGATGACGGCAAGCGGATAGAGCTGCTGCACAAGACGGCGGTGAGCAGGGCTGCTTGCTGGCGCGGCCTTCCCTTGGTGGTCCCGACCACGCCCGGCATGAGCACGGCTGCTGCAGCAGCCTGGCCGCGCTAGGCTGGGCAGAAGAAAGGAGGCTGCCCACTCTGCGCAGCCCAGGGCCCCACGCCTGCCTACACCCCTCGCTGGCGCCCCGCTGCCTGCCCACCCGCCTGTCGCTGACCAACACCACCGCTGCTGTGCGCAGGTGGAGGGCGTGCCGGGGGCCATGGCGGCGTTCAAGGGGCGGCTGCTGGTGGGGGTGGACGCGGTGCTGCGCCTATACGACATGGGTGGGTGTGGCGGCAAGGGGGGGTCTGGCGTGGGTGGGGGTGGGGGGGAGAGGCCAAAGGTGGAGGTGGTGTGTGGTTTGTGGTCTGGCTGTGGGGCGGCCGCCCGGCCAAGCCTGCCTGCCCTCCGCTGCCTGCCTGCCTGTCTGCCCAGCATGCGTGCGCCGCGCCCCCCCTGCGCGCAGGCAAGAAGCGCATGCTGCGCAAGTGCGAGTACCGGCGGCTGCCCACCCGCATCGCCACGCTGCACGTCTCTGGCAGCCGCATCTATGTGGGCGACGGCCAGGAGTCGACCTTCTTCATGCGGTGAGGCCGGCAGGCGGCCTGGGCCTGGCTGGGTTTGTTGTGTGGGGATCGGCCCGCCACCTGGGTGTTTGGGTGTGGGGCGGTCCGGCCGCGGGATGGCGGCGCCCCGCTGCGCAGCGGTGCCCCCGCCGCGCGGCGACCTGCCAGGCCCCGCCGCGCCCACCGCCGCCCGCCGTGCCTGCCCGCGCCTCGCCGCAGGTACAAGAAGGGGGACAACCAGTTCTACATCTTTGCGGACGACATTGTGCCGCGCCACGTCACCGCCGCCCTGCACCTCGACTACGACACCCTGGCGGGGGCAGACCGCTTCGGCAACGTCTTTGTGTCCCGCCTGCCGCAGGAGGTCTCGGCACAGGTGCGGCATGGCGGGTGCGGCTGGCAGCGCGCAGACCAGGGGCAGAGGGAGGGGCCGAGGGAGGGAGGGGTGCTGCCTAGGCGTCGCAGCAGCACCGAACAGTGCTCGGCTGTCTGGCCTTGCTCGCCGGGCGTGTCCTGTGTGTGCCGGCCCCTGGCCCCTGTGGCCCCTGGCCTCCCTGACCCGCGTCCACCCACCCACACAACGCCCCGCTGCCCCTGCACAGGTGGAGGACGACCCCACAGGCGGCAAGTATGCTACAGAGACGGGGCTGCTGGGGGGCGCGCCCAACAAGCTGCGCACCATCAACAGCTTCCACGTGAGTTGGCTGGGCCCTGGGTGGGTGGGTGGGGCCCTGGTCAGGTCAGGTTAGGAAGAAGACAGGAAGGAGTCGTTGCAGGAAGGCAGGGTGGGAGCCTGTGGGCCAGGGCAGGGCTGGGCATGCCACCCAGCAGCGTGGACCGCCACCCACGTGCCTGCATGCGCCTGCCGCACCCCCACACCCCGGCTCTGGCGCAGGTGGGAGAGACGGTGACAGCGCTGCAGCGCGCGGTGCTGCAGCCGGGCGGGCGCGAGCTGATTGTGTATGGCACCATCAACGGAGCCATCGGTGGGTGCCTGGACAGCCCCCGCCCCAACCAGTGGCTGCTGTCTTGCAGTGGCGCCGCGCCCCGGCTCGCCTCCTCTTCCGTGCACCTTGCCTGCCGCTGCCCCACGCTGCCATGCCTCCACGAGCGCCTGCACCACCCACCCACCGCCGCGCCTCCACCGCTGCCTCTGCCTGCCCCGCCCAAGCGCAGGCGTGCTGTACCCCTTCACCTCCAAGGAGGACTGCGACTTCTTCCAGCACCTGGAGATGCACATGAGGCAGGAGCACCCGCCGCTGCTGGGCAGGGACCACCTGGCGTACAGGTGGGGGGGCGGTGGGCTGCATGGTGTGTGGTGGTGTGTGTGGGGAGGGGCTCAATGGGGCTCAGCACGCACCAGCCTGGCGCCCGTCCCTGCCCCTGCTCGCCGTGCCGCTCCATGTGCTCCCCAGCCCCGCCACCCACCCTGCCATGGTCTCCGCGACCACCACTGCCGCCACCACCACCACCACCACCACCACCACCTCACCCCCCC